GAACCAAAACGCAACTCCAGGTATGTTTTTGAGGACGTAACAACATTATAACCAGTGTTGGGAAGGTGACTTTTAAAATGTAATCCCCTACAGATTACAGATTACATATCCCAAAATGTAGTTTGTAACTGAATCCATTAAGTTACTTAAGGTGAGTAACGTAATCTGAATACTTTGGATTACTTGATTTGCTGTAGAGAAGCTAAGACTCGGATATCTTAACATAAGACAAAGAAAATAAAAAGTCCAGACTTTCTATATGAGATCATTGCTGCCTTAAATTATGTCCACCTACTGTTATGTGTCATATTGTTTATAAAAAAAATAAAAAAATAAAAAAGTCACTTTCATTTCAAACATAAAGGCGCCAGCCCAGTAAAAGTCAGTAATATTTGATGTTTTTTACTCAAAATGATGCAGAATCAGGTTATTTACAGTGTGGATTTAACAGTCCTGGTCCAAGTTTTAGACTTGCTTTAGACCTGTTTTAGACCTGTTTTAGACCTGTTTTAGTCCTGGTTTAGACATGGTTTAGACATGGTTTAGACCTGGTTTAGTCCTGGTTTAGACCTGGTTTAGACCTGTTTTAGACCTGTTTTAGTCCTTTTTTAGTCCTTTTTTAGTCCTGTTTTAGTCCTGTTTGGTTTAGACCTGGTTTAATGCTGGTTTAGACCTGGTTTAGACCTGTTTTAGACCTGTTTTAGTCCTTTTTTAGTCCTGTTTTAGTCCTGTTTTAGACCTGGTTTAGACCTGGTTTAATGCTGGTTTAGTTTCCAGCAATGAATGGAATTACCGAAATAAAAAAATAAAATAAAAATGGAATACTGCCCAAAATGTGAAAAGAGGAAAATAACACCATGTAATCCATTTATTTCAACAAAGTAACTGTAATCCGATTACCACTCATTGAAACTGTAACTGTAACTGAATACAGTTACTCATAATTTGTACTCTGATTACATAACGCCGGTACATGTAATCTGTTACTCCCCAACACTGATTGTAACACATCTTAAAGTGTCGATTTTGTGAACTATAAGACTTTTATTAATGTTCCTTATCCCAATTGTCAAAGGTTTGTGGAAATCAATCCGCTCTTAGGCCGGGGGTTAAAAATACCGCAGTACCTGATGATGTGGTTAATACACGCAGCACTGAAATGCCTCCCCGCTGCAGAGACGAGGGTGACCGCATGTCTCTGTGGATGGGACTGTCCCGCTCTGAAGCTTCTTGGCCCGAGTCCCACATAATTAATTCTAAAATGTGTCCCCCGGTTTGAAGTGTCCCTGTCTCCAACGTCCCACTTTAACAAATCATAACATAAAGGCACTGCAGCATATTTTAATACATTTGGCTCCACGACATTATTTTAATCAAAGGTGACCCCTCATGCCCGCTTTGTCACTGAATGGGAGTTCTGGGGCTCTAGAACTCTGAAGCCTCTGGACCAGGATCATAGTGTTTTGTTTTTTTGTTTTTTTGTTTTTTTTTTTTTTTGCTTTTTACCTTTTATACATACATTTTATAGATTTTTCTTTTTTGTGCTAATTACCTGCTTTTTTTAATCATGATCAAATGTACTTTGAAAAGAAATGAAAATGATGGTAATCCTCAATCAGCTTTCAGCGTAAAGTAAGAAAGAGTTTGTATTTCACTTCTATTGGATTGTAACTGCATCATGTTACCTTGAAAATCCTGTATTCACCATAAACAACGTAGTAATAGTAGTAGTAGTAGTAGTAGTCAGAGGTGGGGATTGGCAAGTTGTGACTTGGACTCGAGTCAGACTTGAGTCAATATTTTTAGACTTGACTTGATAAAATGGAGTAAGACTTGGGACTCGTCTTGGACTTGAAAGTCAATGACTTGGGACTTGACATGGATTTGAGCCCTGTGACTTGAGAAGACTTGATGCTTCTCCTAAAAATATATATGTTTTTAGAAAATACTTTTCTGTTTACAGTTGATAAATGCAGTGTATCCTCAAATTTACTACAGTGATACAAAGTACAGTAACTATAGTAAATATAGTACAATACAGTAAAACAGAGGGAACTACAGAGAACTAAATGACAAAATAACTTTAATTCAGCACTTTTAAATCTGAATTCTTTCTGTTCTGACCGTAATGATTCACACTAAGATCTTGTCAAGACATTTAAAAAGGAAAAAATTGCATTTCTACAACTCTTACGTAAATATTCATATATAAACATACCACTTTTTGAGTACAATTTAGTTTAAAATCCATATAAATTGCTAAATTCTAAGTTGGTTTAAAGACTTGAAATGACTTGAAGCTCAAAGCAGGCGACTTGGACTTGACTTGGACTTATTGGCCAGTGACTCGAGACTCCACTTTGACTTGCCTGTATTTGACTTTGACTTAACTCGGACTTGAGGTCAAAGACTTGAGACTTATTTGAGACTTGCAAAACAACGACTTGGTCCCGCCTCTAGTAGGAGGATAGTTTAACTTTTCTACTTTCATTCATTCATTTCATTTATGTCATTCTGAGTCATCCTCCCTTTGCTCTCCACACCAAGTCACTCCCCCTTCAGAGCACTATCATAAAACTACTTCACATCTCATCAGGTTTGTCAAGTTGCTGGGCACAGTTTTGTATCATGTGTTTGTATATTCATGGAGAATTATCATGTGGGAGCATGGGTGATGTAGTTTTGTGGGCAGAGATTTACACAGAACCTCACAGCTAACAGAAAAGAAGGTTTGAATAGAGCCTGAGAGAGAGTGCTAAATAACTACATGCATGGATGACATCTAAAACCTCTTCAGGCATGTTTTTGATGAGAGAACAACTGTATAACAGAAAAGAAAGCTCAGAAATATTATTATTTTTCATAATATCCTGTCTTTAAAGAGAAAGATGTGTATAATCGAGCTTCGAAACATGTCATACCTTGTATCTGTCTTGAGAAAGTCATTTTATGTTTGATCATGCAATCATTGTTTGCTGTAAGTTTCATACAGACCACTTCCTTTTCAGCAGGTGTAATTCTAGCGCCCTCTGCTGGCATAAGGTATAAACACAATTCATGGCAAAGCTTTTCGGTATTTTTAAGACACATACATACATTATTTGTGTTGCATTTTTGTATGAAAATCGCTCTATAAATAAAGTTTGACTGATGATTGATTGATTGATTGATTATTTTACAAAATTTTATATGAAGGATAGTGTAACCAGTGCAGTTTAAAGGTCCTATATTATGGAAAATTGACTCTTTGTTTCATTCACACATTCATTTTCATTCATTCATTTATTTATTTGTTTGAGCCAGGTACAACAAAATTCAAAAACAATAACCAAAATAGTGATATATATATATATATATATATATATATATATATAATCCTATATTTTGGACCTGGTGCTCAAAAGGAGGAGGATGAAGTTTAAAAAAAACTTATAGAGTCCTACCCCAATTGTTTTACATAATCAGGTGGTTCACTTTTTTTTTTTTTTTTTTTTAATCACCTTTGGAGTGGTTACCTGTCATTTTCAGAAATATACTCACATATATACAAAAGCATATCCGCACATACATACATACATATACATGTAGACACACATGTACATACATACATACATACATAAATACATACATATACACATCACAGATATCCAGTACATATACTCAGTATAAATGTTTACACACACATATACATACATGCAGAAACATATTTTCATTTATGCTCGTACAAACTAATAATAATGTTATCGTAGGCACAAAGTTTATCATTTATGATCGTACAAAATAAACAGTAATGAGAATGAAAATTTTGGGATTTTTGTTTTCGTTTATGGTCGTACAAAATAAACAGTAATAAGAATGAAAAATTTAAGGATTTTTTGTTTTTGTTTATGGTCGTACAAACTAATAACAGTAATGAAGAAGGCACAAAGTTTATTGTTTATGATCGTACAAAATAAACAGTAATGAGAATGAAAAATTTAAGGATTTTTTGTTTTCGTTTATGGTCGTACAAACTAATAACAGTAATGAAGAAGGCACAAAGTTTATCGTTTATGATTGTACCAAAATAAACAATGTATTGTTTATGATCATACCAAAATAAAAAGTAAAAAAGTTCAAGAAAAGCATGTGTTTAGTTAATAGTTTCAATTTGGACAGTGGATCTAGTCTTCTAGGTATTTCTGTAAGATTTTATTTTTATATTGTTTTTTGAAGTGCACCAAGTTTGTACAAGCTTTAATAAGATCATCTAACCTGTTCCGCAAGTCTACTCCACGTCTGGTAACACACATGATTTTGAGAGTGGTTCGAGAGAAGTGTTTTTTAAAATTAATTTGACCTCTCAGGTTGTATTTGAATTCATTTGTGCAAAACAGTTTTTGAATATTTTCTGGAAGCTGTGTGCTCAACACATGTTTGAGTAACTCTTTATTATTAGTTTGTCTACATCTCCGAAGCTCAAAAGGCTCTGTTCCACCTTGTGATGTCATGAAGCAGTAGTTTTCTCATTTTACCTTTTGTTCAGTAAAGATTGGCAATTCCAGGAATGAAATTATCAAAATTATTCTAGTGAAAGTGTGTGGAGTTTAAAAACACAATAGAGTACTCCCTGTATTACCACATGACATCACAAGGTGGAACAGTGTTTTCTGTTTGAGAGAAGAACTCAACTAAATGTGCAGGGTTTGTGTGTTAAAAATGTATGAATGAAACAAAACACAACTCAAGGTCTGTTTTTTGTTGTGTTCTGAAACAGCTGAAATCTCACAAGAGTCATTTTTGCATAATGTAGGACCTTTAATCCTATCAGTCAGACCCATCCATCATCGTTGTGTTCGTTCCCACAGCGACAGAAGGAGGAACTGTAAAACTGTGTGAGATAATTACTGTCTCCATTCATCATTCATGGCGGTAATAAATCTACTTTTCCTCTGAGCGTTTAACTGTCCCCTCTGGTCTTTAACGTCGCTCTGCTTCTGTCCCTTTGCTTGTGTCCTCAGGAAATGTGTTTGTGGTGAGCTTGGCCTTCGCTGACCTGGTGGTGGCGCTGTATCCCTATCCTCTGGTGCTGTACGCCATCTTCCACGATGGATGGTCACTGGGGGAGACTCAGTGCATGGTGAGTAGCTGTCAGTGTCAAAAAAACGTTTGTTCTAGAGGTTGTAAAGGCTATTGATTAAGTAACTTTTTTGGTGGAACATACAGACATCCCTGTTTACTCCGGAACAGTCCCAATGTTGAGTCCTGTCCCAGCAGATTTATCCAAAACTGTTGATTTGTCCCAGTTTTATACCAGAAATCTCCCAGGTGTCCCTATTTTTGACCAATCTGACCCCTGCCAACAGTAAAGAAAGGCATACATTGACATTTGTTTTGGTAAAATACTACCTCCACTCAATTTCATTTCTCTCCAGCGACTAGGTCAGGAATCAGAATACACTAGACGATTTGCAAGAACCTCTGAAGCTGTAGACCGCGCACTGGCCAATCAGAGAAGAGCTGTGAAGTCATGCCATACTGTGGGGCATTCCAGGCAAAGTAATAACGTTTTATGAAGAAACTTTGGTGATGTATGTTTAGGGTCACCAGAATTTCAAAATCATAAACTGGAACACTTTTGGTTTGTGGTGGTTGGTAATAATAAAATTGTGAAATTAGTACGTAAGGAAAATTGTTATGCACTCAGTGAGTCAGTATTGGGCCTGTTTAGACGAGAATGCTTGAGGGTAAAAGTGACTAAATATTTTATCGGAAGTGGCTTTCATTTAGATGGTGACAGTATTTTTGGGGCTTAAACCACAAAAATCTGAACCCACCCTCCAGAATGGAAAAGTTGAATATGCTCCGCCGTAGCGTTTCCGTCTACACTGCCCAAGACACAAAACTCCGGTCAGATCTGCTCATGTTGCATACGCATTTACGTTACATACATACAGTACCCAGAAACAAACATGTCAGATCATTTCCATGTGTCCGACGTTCAAGCTGCTCTGGCAGCTCTAATAAACTTACAGGAAGAATCCCAACAAATGTACAGAATATGCAGAAATACTATTAGTGAACAGACAAGGATCTGCGATCACCTCTGTCAAATTCTGGATGCACGAATTCATCACAGGTGAGTCAGACGGATATGGACGAGACCTGGAGAACCAGTCGATGGCGGGACAACTTTGTGGAAGGAGTAGCTGATGAAAATGTGTGGCATAAAATCTTCCATATGTCTAAAGATGCCTTTGTTTCTTTAAATACAAGGATACCCATTCCAATTCCACACACTTTTGCGTCACCGTATGCACACAGATTTCCTCCTGAAAACGCGTGTCTAAACGCGGAATAAAAAGTGAAGACACAGCGGCACTTTTGCGTCTTCTGTTCAGACTGTCATCATATAAACGTAGCCATAGTCACATTTTCTTTGTGTTTTGGTCAGTTTTAAGCAGCTTTTCTGTATTGTACTAAAACAAATGACAGTTCATGCTTCTCTTTATTGTTGGCAAGGATCAGATTGGTCAAAAATAGGGACACCTATCGGGACACACTTGTAAAAAACTGGGAACATCTCCATGGAGACAAGAAGGTGCCGGACCCATCTCCACTTTCTATTCCCAAATCGATTCCGTGTAGTAGTAATCTTCTGTAATGTCCTCCATTAGTCTGAGATCTGAAGAAGGGTCCCCTGGCGCTGCACCGTCTGCTCCTGACAGGCGGCCCCAGTGCTCTTGAAGAATGTGTCAGTGAAGGAGAGATCGTTTCCAATGGGGACAATAAAGTCTATAGCTTGATCTGAGCCTGCTCCAGGACTGCTCTTGTACACGATTACCACCAAATCACCAATGCCGCTTTCAACAGTTTGTAATGTTCAAACCAAGAATTTGACTAGAGGATTGGAGGAACAAATTGGGTTATAAAGACATTAAGGAAAGAAGAAGAATGATGGCTCTCTGTACGTTTTATACAGATTGATATCAGTCTGGTCCCCATGGTCTCTGTTGCCATTGGTCAAGTTCGATCAAACGTGACCAGAATCAGATTAGTTTATTTCAGTGACATGTGTGTAACAAAAGAGCTCATTGGTCATCTATCATTTACAAACAAAATTTAATCTGAGTTTTATTTTTTAACAGTCTGACTAGGAAGAACTGATTTGGCATTTTTGTTGAAAATCAAACACCTAAACATAAAACCACGAACGTTCCTATTGATCACAGGCTCCTGAAAATGTGCTGTTTAAATCCATGTTGTATTTAACTTCTTGGGTTCTTTTTTAAAGACAATACAGTAAAGTGTATTTACTTTGTTTACATGTTTTTCCCGTCATCAGGGACACTCACCAGAAAACAAAAAGACAAAACAGAGCAGGAAAACCTAAGATCCACCATATCAGACTGACTGTAAAAGAAATAACCACATTATGGATTTGGACAGGACACTGGTCATTGGATTGGAGTTCAAGTTCAAACGCTGGATCAGGGAAGCCACTGAAATCAGGAAACGAGGCACAGACAGCATTATGCATGCATGATGGAACGTTCCTAGCTTTCACACACCTGGGACACACTCCTCCAGAGACGGGAGGCATGGTCAGACCTGCCAGGTCCATCAAGCTGACCACACCTACAGGAAGTAACAACAGCTGTTGTTACAACAACACATCACCACCAACATCAGAAACAGTTCTGAAGATGCAGCAGCAGCAGCCGAAACATGTCAACAAGGTCAATACACTTTACTGTATTGTCTTTAAAAAGAACCCAAGAAGTTAAAGTACATAAGATAAGATAAAATGAACATTTTTGGCTCATGTTGTATTTTTTCTTGTGTTTTCAGACAATCTCGTAACTTATTTGGCAGTGTTTTCTAATGTGTGCATTGTGTCACCATGGTAACTGTTGAACATTCCAGTATAGAGATCGTGTTGAACACACCTGCATACTGTCACTGCCAAGTATCAGTAGCCTTGCCTTATTAATATTTGCAAATTTGAAAAAGTTGTAACAATCAAGGTAGCAGAAAAGGCAATGAAATCTCAAAATAAACCAGTAAATGTAGTTAATATGATTCACTGAGATTCAGGAGCAGGACCACGCCTCAGTCGCCCTCTCCTCTCACCAGTGAACCACAACTCACCTCGACCATGCCTCTAATTTCCCAGAAGCCTATATGTAGCAGCCTTTCCCATCATCCCAGTTTGTCTCGGCTAACCCCTATTTTGTTCATCTTTCAGTCATAAGACCCATACAAGGGGGGGTCCTGTTCCGGCTGGGCCAATTTAAGATTGAGACAAAGCCCCCACCTATAGTCTCAACCCAGACATCTCTGCCCCGCTTCGTACATTATCAATAAACTTCTTCGCACTATGTCATTGTTGATGTGGTCCTAGCTAGTGAAATGTTCATATACCTAAAACTTAGAAAGTTTCGCATTTTATTTGGCATTAATCACTGGTAAAACCGGTTATGTAACTGCAAATTATCTATAAAGTTTTTTTTTTATTCTGAGAAATAAAATACAACATAAGTACACCTACTGCATGCACATTCCTCCTCTTCTTTTTCCTTCTCTCTTTTGTTTCTTGCAGGTGAGCGGTTTCCTGATGGGTCTAAGCGTCATCGGCTCCATCTTCAACATCACCGCCATCGCCATCAACCGATACTGCTACATCTGCCACAGCTTCTCCTACGATAAGCTCTACAGTTACCGAAACACGCTGCTCCTCGTCGCTCTGGTCTGGCTCCTCACCATCGTCGCCATCGTTCCCAACATCTTCGTGGGTTCCCTCCAGTACGACGCCAGGGTCTACTCTTGCACTTTCGCCCAAACCGTCAGCACCTCCTACACCATCGCGGTCGTGGTCGTGCATTTTTTCGTTCCTATCACCATCGTCACGTTTTGCTACTTGCGAATCTGGATTTTGGTCATCCAAGTACGAAGGAAAGTCAAGACGGAAGTTCGACCCAGGCTTAAACCGAGCGATCTGAGAAATTTCATGATGATGTTTGTGGTTTTTGTGCTTTTCGCGATCTGCTGGGGGCCGTTGAATTTGATCGGGTTGGCGGTTTCGATAGACCCGGACTTGGTGGCGCCGAAAATACCCGAGTGGTTGTTTGTGGTGAGCTACTTCATGGCCTACTTCAACAGCTGCCTTAACGCGATCATTTACGGCATGCTAAATCAAAACTTTCGAAGGGAATATAAAAGAATTGTAATGTCCGTTTGGAATCCGCAGTTGTTTTTCCAGGAAACGTCACGCGGAGGAACAGAGGCGATGAAAAGTAAACCGTCGCCAGGACTAAACAACAACGAACAGCAAGGAGAAACCCAGTGATTCACAAAACCACGGAAGCGATTCTAAGGCCGTGAAGCAAGAGTAGAGGTTAACTTAAAGGTGCATTGCGTAACTTTTCTGGTAGAAAGTCCACCACCTGCTTGACTCCACGTATGTTAGTGTTTTTTCATGGAATGAGCTACAGTATGGCATTTAATTTAGCGATCTCCATGGAAACAAGCAAATCACATCACCCAGCTAAGTAACAGGTCAGATCTGTGGAGAACTGGGCCTGCTCATGGTAATAATGTATGTTTTTTGCCATGGTTTTGAGAGAAAAAAAAAAAACGTAATTGAATAAATACAAGATATGTTTGTTGGCATTTATTCAATTTTTCATTTCCCCTTAATAAAAAAGCTTGACAAAATGCATTCTTACAAGTTGTGGGTTCTACTCTCCACAGATCTGACCTGTTAATAGTGGTGCCAATTGCTGCTGTCCATGGAGATAAATATCGTAAAATACCAAATAATAGCCGGGGTGTTTATATGTTTCAATCACTTAACAGACCAGGCATTTATTTGAGACCAGGGAGCAATTTAGGGCAGGTGATTAATTCCTTCCTTATAAAAATCTTAGTCAGCAAAATTGGGAAAATATTGTACTCAAATTCTTTCAACCAGTATGACTATAATTTAAAGTTTTTACAGCACACTTCTGTTATACGATGGCCTGGAGACTACTTTGCTGACCTTGTGGGCACGATTTCTGCCGACTCGTCCCCTGCCTTTCCTTGCCTCTTTTCACAATTTTCCTCTTACGCCGCAGCAGCTTCGATCACATTGCTGCTGCTTCCTCCGAATGACCAAACTGAAGTAATATAACCAAAACTCCTAAAAACTGCTTCCACTTTCCTGCCCGCTATGTTGCGCCATCGTTCTTTTTTACATCACTTTGAAATCGGGATTTCACAGGAACGTAATCTATTCCTCCACTTTTTTAGTGAAAGTGAGGGTGATTGGACGTAGCGTAGAGATTATAGCCTATCCATTCAGTCACGCAACCAGTCTGGTAAATTCAGGACTGGACTAAAGTCAAACTGTTCTTATGTCAGCGGTAAACATCACGCTGTCTGACGTTGCACTAATCATGAGATCTTGGTTAAAAACAGTTTGAGCTGCCTCCTCCTCGGCCGCAGTCAGAACAACTGCTGGGGCCACTTTCTATACAGACTCATCATTTACTTATCAAAATATACACTGCACCCGGCTATTATTTGGTATTTTACGGTATGTTTACGCCATATTGTGGAATGATCTGCAAAGCTATAAAATCTTGATGGACGCAAGCACGTGGCAAATCCTACACCAGAAAAGTTACTCTCGACATCTTTAGGTTGGAGCAATAAATTTGTGCTGAAAACTGAAAAAAATGGTGAAAGCTGATTCCAGAAGCAGTCAGTCTATATAAAGCCGTAAAGAGAAGAGAAATCCAAACCAATTGTAGTATGTGTATAGATAAAAAGAACTGAGTCTGAATGTTTGCGATTTAGAAAGCACTTTGAACGAAATGCAACTGGATCACGCTGAGACGGGGTCATGGGAGAAAACTTCGCAACAGGCTCTTTAAAAGCTCGTAGGGAGTATTTCAAAACTCAATATCAACATTTATAAGTACCATAATAAATTCTAAAAACAGAAAATATTAGTCTTATGCTTGTTCTGGTAGACATCAAGACCATTCTTAAACTAAAAGGAAAGGTCCACATTCGATCAGTATCAGTACAAATGAAAGTCTAATTTCAATATTAATTAGATATTGATTTCTTTTAACAGTTAATTGGCCAAAAGATGCACAGTGTTGGAGACGCTGCTGTGTGGACAGTGTTGGGAAGTAACTGAATATAAGTACATAGAACACAAACCTTTGAGTATCTGAATTCTGGTACAGTTATTTTCATTTCCAGTTACTTCGCTAAAATCAAAATAATACTCGGCAGTTCTTGATCACGCAGTTTAGGCGCCAAACTACACAGAATCAGTGAGAAAAATCTAAAAATGTGGTAAAGTATGTGTGATTTTTCATTCCCTAATTAGCGATAATGTGATAATTTGTGATTATAATGAAACAAGCGTAAATCTGTTTTGAATGTTGCATCTTTACTCTACAATTTAAATACAACTTCAAGTAAAAGTATTCACAGTATTCAGAATATAGTACTCTGATTGGCCCATGTATCAGAATATGTTACCAAATACATTTTACTGCAGGTATTCAGTATTCTAAAAGTACCCATCCTTGTGTGTGGACCAGTTGCATCAAGATGTGAGGGACGTTTGACACGACTCGCCGTAGGTTATAATGTGAATATACTGATTTGAAGCTGCTAGGATTGCTTGCGTAATTGTGTTGTTTTCTTCAATAATGTGACAACGAACGTGATTTGCACCAAAGTCTGAGATGTTCTGCTTGCGACGGACCGAGGAGACTGTGTTGAATACAAACTGTGTAATACAGCTTCGGTGTTTGGAGAAGCTTTGGACGACTTTGGTCGGAGTCACATCTGCAGTAACAGGGTTTTGTGCCATATAATAATAATAATATTACTACGTGATTAGAAGTTATTATTTATTGATTTATTTCTATTTTTGTGCCAAAGACTCAAAGCGCTCAACTGTGAAATTAAAACAAGAGGAGTTTGAATGAAAGAAGGTCGAGTGTGCCACAAAAGTCAGTTCTGGTTTGACAGCAACATACATACATACATACATACATACATACATACATACATACATACATACATACATACATACATACATACATACATACATACATACATACATACATACATACATACACACATACATACATACATACATACACACATACATACATACATACACACACATACATACACACACATACATACACATACATACACATACATACACATACATACATACATACATACATACATACATACATACATACATACATACATACATACACATACATACATACATACACACACACACATACACACATACATACATACATACATACATACATACACACACACACACATACATACATACATACACACATACATACATACATACATACATACATACATACATACATACATACATACATACATACATACATACATACACACATACACATACATACATACATACATACATATATACAGTATGCAGCAGTGTTTCTCAATCTGTGTTATGGGGCCCTCTGCAGTTTGAGCATTCGGTTTATTTAAAGACAAATCTATCCATGTTTTTGTCCCTTCTTTGGTTTATCATTATGTAAAACTATCATGGTTTAGTGTTATTTAGACCTTCTAGACCTCTCGGACAAAATAACGAAATTAAAAACACCTGGATCATGTAGAGCGGTGTTAATACGAACATTTTAAAGGGACAGTCGGGAATTTTGGACATAGGACTTAATTTCCTAGTGAGCCAGAGTGTTGGAGACATGTGGAGACACTTTTTGAAATATTCCATCCAGTCCTTGTATTTGCAGAGGTCACTGGTGCTAGGCTAGTGCATGTCAATGGACATAGTTATCCTGCCACTAAAAACAGTCTTACTCACTCCACAAAACACCTGAAGAAAAACTATTATTACACCAGACTGTCCATGTGAATGTCTGTGTTGATAGAATAATGTTTGAAATAAAACTAACCTTGTATCACATGAATCGTTGCATGTTGAGGGACTATTTTCTCAGCAGGTGTGAAATTTTACTTTGCAGTAAGATAAGTGATATCAGTCCACCACTGCCAAGCTTTCTGTCAGGAAGTACAACTCCCTGCTGCTGCTCAGACATAAATCCTTCAAATGGAAGGTGTGTTTTACTTCTAAAATTATTCTATCATCACAGACATTCACATGGACAGTCTGGTGTAATAATAGATTTCTTCAGGTGTTTTTTGGAGTCGGTAAGGCTGTTTTTAGTGGCAGGATAACTATGGTCATTGGCATGCACTAGTCTAGCACCAGCGACCTCTGCAAATACAAGGACTGGATGGTATAAGTGTCTCCATTCATTTCCAACACTCTGGCTCACTAGGAAATGAGGTCCTCTGTCCAAAATTTCCAGACTGTCCCTTTTAAGACCAAGATGATAAGTGATTTTTCAATGTAAAGTCAATTGGAAACAGAGTCCTATTTGGGGAGTCAAGAATATAAGAGGTAATTTAATCTAATTTGCTCAAATATAATAGTAAGAACTCAAAAGTGATTGTTATTCTAAAAGAAATTCAGATATTTAAGAACCATCTCTTTAAAAAATAAACCTATAACATATATTGCTTTTTTTTTTTTTTAACAAATCCCTTTAACTGTATCGTTCAGAAGGCTTCATTTCATAAAGTCACATTTGTTGTGTGAGCAGCCTTTGAGGGCTCCCGGACTCCACCTTGGGAACCACTGTATCAGACAATGTGAATGAAATAAAATTAGGATTTCACAGTGTTTTGGCTCTAACATGTCACGTTTCTCCTTGTGACCCTCGGCACATTGAGTCTGAGAGGAGTCCTGCTGTTTCACTCCGCAGTTACTCACCACAGGTTTCCAACAACCAATAAATAATGGACAAGTTTGTCAGACCAAAACTGATTGAGTGGTTTTTGTTTGTTTTGTTTGTGGCACACAGAAGGTTCATGATGGTTCCTGCCTCTTGTGTGAAACTAGCCCAGGGCATCAGAGCTTAGTAACAGACTCTCTACAATGTGAAGTCCACTTGGGTTTCTGTCATATATTAGTAATATACAAGTGTAAAACTGCTCTTATTTAATGCACTGAATGTTTGTACTGCTTTTACAGTAACCTTTGTATCCATGGAAACTGTTCAGTCCACTGTGAGAAGAAAATCTATGGGTCTCATCATGAAAACACCAAAACAGGACACAGGACTTTGTATTCTGAACCAGCTGATGAAGTTCATTTTCATTTTATTAAAGCCACACTGTGTAACTTTCAATGATGGGGAGGCTGCCATTTGCTTGGAATGTTCCACTGTAAGGCATTAACTAATC